CAAAATTGTACTCCCAAGTTGCACCCAATCACACAAGAAGTTACACGCCCATGTTTTATCCTTCTTTCTTTCTTTCTTTCTTTTCTCTCTTTTTTTTTTTAATATCTTCTACCCTAAATTGTTATTTTCCCTTGATTTAATATGTTCAGTGTTCAAATCTAATCATCCTAACATTACTCTAAGAGCCTGTTTGGGAAGGAGATCTCAGGCTAAATTAGTCACATGTGGACAAAAGGGACTTTTCTAGCCACATGCGGACAAAAACTGAAAATGGTCTGAACAACAACCAATGCCAAAGTAGATTTACGAAACTACCCCCATGAAAGAGGGACATGCGTCAGCCCCCACAAAAAAGTAAAAAAAAAAAAAAAAACATTTTCCCAAAAAACACCTTCTCCCAGAAAAAACAAAGAAAGTTGAAAAGAAAAAAATTAATTTTTTTCTTTTGTTTTTTGTTAAAATATTTTGTAAAAATAAATTCAAACTCTATTTTATAAAAATAAATTCAAACTCTATTTTATAAAAATAGTTTTAAATATTTTAATTTTTTTGTTATGTATTTGGTTATGATTTCAGTGTAGAGTTCTGAAAGTAGCATGGAGTTTCAATCACTTTGATGATCAAGACAAGTATTAGAAAATTGAATAAAGAGTAGAATTTTAATTTTATTTTAATTTTTGCTTATTAAATTTTTTAGATTATTTACATTATTTAAATATTTAAAATTAAATTAAAATTAAAATAAAATTAAAATTAAATTATTTAAAGTACACATGACAATAAAATGAAACCTCACTTTTTATCACGTCTTTCACAGAAAATGAAAAAAAAATTAATTTTAAAAATCAAAATAGAAAAATACATGAAAAAACAAACATCATTTTTTATTATATGCCACAGCAATATATGATTTTTGACATCATTTTAAATAAATGACATGAAAAAACGTTTTTCCAAAAAACCAAACAAAGTAAAAAATAAAGAATAAAAAATTAAAAGCATAAAATAGCAGTTGCCACATAATTTTAAAATAATGAAAACACATGAAAAATCATTTTTGAAAACAAAAAATAAATTAATGTATACAAATAAAAAAAAAATTGTAAAGCGTAAATGAAAAAAAAAGAACCACAAAAATAAGTCACATCACACAAAAGAAAAACAAATAAAAAACTCATCCAAAGACACGCCTCATTCAAAAACATTTCAAAAAAAAAAAAACATAAAAACTTAAATTATCATTCGCCACATAATTTACAAATAAATAAAACACATGAAAACTCATTTTTGAAAAATAAAAGAAGTTATTGTATACCAATAAAAATAAATGAGGGAAAAAACGTAAATTAAATAACAAGAACTAATTAATGTATAAAAAAATAAAAATGACAAAAACATAAATTTCTTTAAAAAAAAAAAAGAAAACATCAAAATCGGCCAAATCCAAACCCAAAATAAAAAAAATAAAAAAAATTATCCAAATTCGGTCCTCTACGGAGGGTGACGTGGAGGACCACTTTCATTGCCTCACAAGTAAAAGTTGAACATGAAGGGTAGTTTGGTAATTTAACAGTAAGACACATTACCAAAAAGTTAAAAAAGTCAAAAAGTCCTTCCAAAATCAGGCTTTTTAACCCTAGGTTAAAATAGCCAAAAAAATAAAAAAGTCAAAAAGTCAACCCACTTTCCAAACGGAGGCTAAGTAATAGTTGAATTTCTTTCAAATTTAAATTTTAACTTTTGCCAAGGAATTTTAGAAGGTTGTAGGACCGTCAATGTTTCTGTTTTGATAATTGAAACCGTTTATCTTGTTGACTCTCATAATATATAGGAGTGTAAATTTGGCCCGCGGCCCATGGTGGGTCTGGCCCCATTAGGCCTGGACCCGAGTCCAGCCCAGGACCCTAGTCCTGAGTCATCATTTTGAAATCCAACTTGGCCCATCGGCCCACTCAAGACCCACTTAAAACCCGATCCGAGACCCAAGACCCAGTGTCTTTTTCAATGAAAAAGAATAAAATTTTGATGAAAAAAATAGAAAAAAAATGTTCAAGCCTACCTAAGGCCCAAATATCCCCTGGACTTGGGCCTGGGCCTAACAAGCCCGACTAAATCCGAATTTTGGTTGGAGCCCAGGCGACATTCAATAAAATGCAAAGTCTAACATATGTTTCATATAAATACGATAAAGCAAAAATAATATCTCCAAAAAAGTAAATTGGACTTTTTATTTTATCAAATCAATCTAATTTTTTTTCATGAATAATATGTATTGAGAGACATATAAAATGAATAATTCAAATTATTAAAATATAACTCATAGTCAGCCCCACAAACCCCTCAAACTTCCTCAAATTCAAATTCGAACTTAAAAAAAAAAAACCAAACTCTCTCAATTGTCTTGCATGTTGAGAAGTTGATCCCACCATAGCAACCTTTGACTTTATTTAGTCCATCATATATTATAAGTTGTTTTTTTATTTAAAAAAAAAAAAAAAAAAAAAAATTTCTTCATTTCACCCAATCATTTTTATAATTAATTTTTCAACTTATTCTAAATTTTAAAATAATAATAAAAACTTTAAAAAGTCTATAATAAACTGTACCTAATGGACCTATATGAATATGATGAATCAACATGTTTTATGATTCTTGTTTGGTTGCGGCTAAATAAGTAAAAAAATTTATTAAATTATTTCTTATTACTTACAAAAAAAATAACTCTTTTAGTAATTTCTCAAATATGTTAACATTTTTAGTACTTTTTTAATTTCTAGAAAAATCAAAAAAGCCACAAAAGGGCCAACCCCAAATTCAACACGTGGAGGGGGTTTAATCCACACACCACAAGAAATCTTAAATAAAAAAAAAATTATAAAAAAGAAATAAAAATTATAAAAAATAATAATAATAATAAATTAAAAATTAAAAAAAGGAAGAAGAATATAAAGATCCATGTCAATTCATATCCTAGTGAATATTAGAAAGGACTAATCCCTTGATCTTGATGTATGATATACAGATAACGCAAGGAATATCTTTATATTGTTCTTGATAATCGGATAATCCCATCCGAATCCATCGATGATAAAGCACTAAAAGAGAAAGGAACAAACAGCGAGTGACGAAATGAAAGACAACTATTTTTTCAAAAAAATATTCAAGTAGTGTCAATACCATCCAAAATAATAATCAAAATAAATCATAACTAATACCATAATATAGTAACGGATCATAATAAAATATTACAAAGACAGTAACTAGAGAGGTATGGTATACTATATATTTTTTATTTTTTATTTTTTGACATGTATTATAAAATTTCCCCTAAATCTATTCGTTAAATCTAAAATTCAAACATGACATCAACCCCAATTCCCTTCACATAAAACAGAAATTTGGCTTTTTGATTTATGAATCTAATTTTCAAAATGATTTCCTTTTGCTATTTTGTCGAAGGTCATGTTCAGGTACTTCTTACCCGCAACTTGGCAACAACTTTAGAAACTTAACATCCCTCCCAAATGGTCCCTTTTTATTTGGAAAATCCTTAATAGTATCCTCCCAGTTCGAGCAACGTTACGTGGCATGGATTTTATTACAAGCTGTCCAAGGTGTAATATTGCAGAGGAATCTCTAGCACATTTTTGCTTCCTTTGTCCTCACTCTCTGTATGTTTGGAATAGATCACATCTAAAGATCCATACTCCCTACAGATGTTTCCACAAGGTTACACGCATGGCTCACCAATTGCTTCAACAGTGATATTGAGATTGTTCGTTACAGCTTTTGAGGAGTGATTATAACTTATTTTGATTTAAAAATCTGAGCCAAAGTGTTTAGCACAACTTCTACTTATAACTTATAACTTATTAGGCAGAAATAACTTAAATAAACTGAAAAAAAAAAAAAAAAAAAAAAAATTACTTGAAAGCTTGTGTAGAAGTGTTTTTACTTTTTACTTTTTCATTATCAGGTTTTAACTTAAAAAAAAACCCCACCAAAAGGCTACTTGATCAACTTAATTCTTGTCCTTTGGGCTCTGTTGATGGCTAGAAATCAAGCCCATTTTGATAATCATTTGGCCAAACCGAAAGACACTTTGGGATTATTCGCTGCCACTAAGGCCTCCCTCCTGCGTTCTCAACACATGGGCATTACTTATCAAGATCGAGATCAAATTTTCCAACATCAGTCTGCTCGGAATTTCCGCTTTATCAACATATTATTTGTAAAGTTAACAGGCGATCTTTTAAGCCTCCACATGTTGCCGCCAGACGCGCTCTTCGGAGCGCCTAATTATGTATGTGTTTGCTTTTGATATTTATGACTGTTATAATAACAATTTAAAATAAATAAATAAATAAAGTTTATTCAGAACTAAATAATATAAAAAAAATTTGAAATTTTAACACATTCACATAATAGTTTTAACATATACTTCTATACACAAATATACTTCATACATATTTTAGCATTAACTAATCATATTCCTATAAAAAACAAAAAAAAAAGAAAAGAAAAGAGAAGTTAACTATCATACATATTTTAACATTAAATATCACCAATAAGTGGTTATTAACATTTTCTTTTGTTAATTGCCCACTTTGCGACTGCCATCTTCATAAATCAGCACAGGAAACTGTACAAGGACAGTAGCCCAAGAAGATAGTGTGACCACAAAATTGGGATCTACATTTATGAGGATGAGAAATACTTGCGAGTATTTCATGAGTCAGTTCCAGCTCACCCAACCCCACCGGGCTCCTGTTAAATCCTGAGCCAGAGCCAATTCCGGGCATTCGGCGCCAATTTGGCATTCTGCCCATCGCCTTGGGAGCCAGGTTTTTCCGATGCCCATTTGAGGCATTCTGGTCCAAGCTTCAAAGACCTCAATGCAGGCCCTACCCAAGGGTGTCAGGGCCAGTGATGGCCTCGCCAGCACTAGATAGGGCTCAGGCCAGGCCTAAGCCAAGCAGACCACAAGAGATCAAGCAACAAACAGAGATCATTCACTGAATAAATACATAAAAAACCAAAGCATCATTACATTTCAGTTTCCTTTCCCCCCTCTTCCAATGTCTTAGAATTAATATTCACAAAGTAACAAACCCAACTTCCTTGCCAAGTTCAAGTTTAAAGAGTAAACAAGGTTTCCTTACCAACACTTTTTATTCTTTCACCCAAAGCACATCATATCAGACAAGAACACAGTTGCATATAATCTTTCAGAAGAAAAGCCATGGGGGTCCTTACCATCATCCCATGGCATACTTCTGCGTCCAGCTGCGAGCGGTGGCCTCGTATTTGGCCCTGTCAGTCTTGTACATGTGAGCTATTTCTGGCACAAGTGGATCGTCGGGGTTGGGGTCTGTCAACAGGGAACAGATGGACAGCAGGACCTGACCACCCAGAAAAAAGAGTTGATTTAGTTTGAACATAATTTCTCTAAACTTCAAGAAATCAAAGTTGTTACTCATAATTTCAAGAAATGATTGGAGTGAAGCCCGAGATTGAATAAATGCCGATCTCTATTCAGGTACAATTTTATGTTGCCTTCACTTAAGCCAAGTTTGGCATCCTCTAAAAAATCCAAAAAGTCAAAAAGTCACTATCCTATTTAAGTCACATCATCTTATTTAAGTCACATCACCTCTCTAACACATCACTTCAAACCCAACCCAAATCCAACCCATATTTCATAAAAAGTCAAAAAATACACTTATTTAGTCTTCCCAAACTTGGCCTTACACTCAATGAGCACTACTTTCTCACACACAACAACAAAAGTAACACATTTAGTAGTCAATACTTTCACAATGAAACTTGGGAATTTCATCAAAGCAACATAATATCCATGCAACACAATCATTTACTTATAATTTTTTTTAGTAAAAATAATTTACAACTTGCACCAATCATTGTGATATTTGGAACAATGTTACTCCCACAATTTGAAGTTTGTTGAGTCTATACAGATTCCATTATATAAAATTGTTTGAGAGTTTTCGCAGGTGTTTGATGCAACAGATACTAATTAATTAGCAAAGGCACATAGACTTTGGAAGCTTAGAACAAAGACCATGGGCCCCAACATTATACAATAAGACTTTTTAGACCAAAAGAAAGTGCCAAGGGCAGTATATAGGGTCTTTGTTATGCTTGTGGTCTTTTTTAATTTCTGTTTAATTATTTTATTTTAGGAGCCAAGAGTATTTAGGTAATTTTTAGTTTTGTTGGGTTGGGTTGAGTTTGGATCCATGAATTGTAATATGGGTACATAAATCTTGTGTGATTATAGTTCAGTGGGTGAAGTGTCCAAAAGTAATACTTGGCCACCAAGTTTTGACTTTTCTATACATAATTGTTATGTAATGGTTTCAGAAGATAGAGTTGAATATGAATTTGAGTTCACATATGCGTGATCTTTCTTGGCCCTTTTGAGGGTGAATTCTTTTTCTTCTTCCCTTCTTCATCTCTTCTTCTCTATTATCTTCATAAGAATACCCAGTGATCATGTATATATATATAACATAATCATGTTCTCAAGTATTCATAGCAATTATAAGTCCTAATTTCAGGCCATAAACCATGTCTAATCAAAGCTCTGGCCAACCCTAAACCCTAAACCCCAAACTTGCCATTTTAGTCATTTATTCCCCATCATAAAATAGTAGTTGTGGGGGATGAAAATGACACAATAATATCCTTGGGCCTAAACTAACTAAAGAAGCATAAATGACCAGTCCAACCAAGAAACCCACCAAAGAAATAATTAGGGCAAGGCATCAACCATTATAAAAGAAGAGACCACTCCTAGAAAAGAGATATGCCTCAAATGATCTGCACACTACAACACTCTTGGTGTTCTTCCTCATTCTCTGTCAGATCCTTTCTAACTTAACCATCGGAGAGCTCATTGGCCGGCAATTGTCGATCGACTAGTGTTAACCTTAGTTGCACAAAGCAGCAATAGAGACAGGGATGGGAGTGAGAGCAAGAGCAAGAACAAGAGCAAGGGAGCAAATGAATATAGAAGTTTCTAATGTTTGGAGTGTGTATATATTTTATATATTAAATATATAAATATGTTCTAACAATTATTTTTTTTTGGCTTAGATGTAACATGTGTGTTAAATATGAATAAATATTATAAACTAAGGTCAACTATAGATTGTCTTTATTTATTAAGTATAAATAAATATTATGTAAATACAAACTACTAGAATAAGTTTGGATTGATTTTCTTTTGTTTATGTGAGATTCGAATGTTTGAGAGATTCTACTTTAGTTGGGAGTAAGTTTCTCCCTTGACGTGAGAAAGTTTCTCACTTGGAAGGTTTTTGAGTAAGAAACAACACTCAAATAGAAGTTTCCTGCTACTAAGCCATTAACAGTGTTTATTTTGCAAATCTATGGGGCCAAGGGCTACCATTAACACCACTAATGCTACCCAACCGACAATTGCCAATCGGAAAGCCCTTCAATTGTTAAGTTAGAAAGGAGCTAACAGAGAGGAAAGAACACTTTTTTGATTGGACGGACTGGAAAATGGGGGATTAGAATCCATCGGACTTGAGTCCTGGGACTGTGAATCCCCCGAACTATTTGGTCGGATTGAATATGTATCCTGTATTTGTTTTTTCATGGGATTAAATGTCTGGATAGGACTATTTTCAGTGAATCCAACGTTTGGTTGGACGGACTGGATAGGATAAATGAACAAAAGACTATTTTACCCTTTTTCAATTGTTTACTAAGTAATAGCAATATTAAACATATCTTTAATATTTTAATTATTTTTAGTAAACATTAAACATACTAATGGTTAAATTTTGTTTAAAGATATTTAAACATACTAATATTGATAAAAAAATTTGACTGGCAAATGCATATAGAAGTTTCTAATGTTTGGAGTGTGCATATATTTTATATATTAAATATATAAATATGTTCTAACAATTATTTTTTTTTTGGCTTAGATGTAACATGTGTGTTAAATATGAATAAATATTATAAACTAAGGTCAACTACAGATTGTCTTTATTTATTAAGTATAAATAAATATTATGTAAATAGAAACTATTAGAATAAGTTTGGATTGATTTTCTTTTGTTTATGTGAGATTCGAATGTTTGAGAGATTCTACTTTAGTTGGGAGTAAGTTTCTTCCTTGACGTGAGAAAGTTTCTCACTTGGAAGGTTTTTGAGTAAGAAACAACACTCAAGTAGAAGTTTCCTGCTATTAAGCCATTAACAGTGTTTATTTTGCAAATCTATGGGGCCAAGGGCTACCATTAACACCACTAATGCTACCCAACCGACAATTGCCAATCGGAAAGCCCTTCAATGGTTAAGTTAGAAAGGAGCTAACAGAGAGGAAAGAGCACTTAGTGTATAGAGCATTTGAGGCATACCTCCCTTCTAGGAGTGTTTCCTCTTTTTATAATGATTAATGCGTTGCCCTAATTGTGTATTTGGTGGGCTTCTTGGTTGGATTGGGCAATTTGTGCTTCCTAAGATGGGTTAGGCCCAATGATGTTCTTGTTTGTGATTTCATCCCCCACACCAGTTAAGCTATCCCCTTTGGAAACTAAAGATTATTTCAATCTCCATTTGAGCAGAACCATTAAACCTTCCTTCTACTACCTTCTTTAATACAAAAAGCCAACAATTCTTTCATCCTACCAACCTGCAACAAATCCAACTGTATGCAACTTAATCTTGGGTTTTATTGAGTTGTTCTGTGGTATAGCTTGTAACTTCTTTCAGCCTAAATTGATTTGATACAAATTTGATGCAGCACGACTTGAAAAAACTTAACCTAAGGCAGCCTATGGTTATGTTTGTGGTGGGTTTAGTGCAAGGAAATATTCTTATGTAATGTCCTAAAGGCCAAAGAATGACAAAGGTTGTGGGGTATGAAAAGCTTTGTAATTAGATTAGAATTAAAAGTGACAGCCTATTGAATCTCTAAACAATGTGCCACAAGTCTCAAACCAGTCGGTATCCATGAATCATAGACACTACAAAACAGGTGTTGTAGTGGTGTCAAACATGGGACACAAAACACGGTGGACGTGAGTTTCACTAATTAATAGAAAATATTGTGGCATGTAGATAATTCCCAAGTTTCACCAATTAATAGCAACAGTTGGCGTGGGAGTAACTAGGAAGAAAGAGTTGAAGATTATATTTATTCTTACACAACTGAATTTATGTAAAGTTTTCCTCATAATCTAATTGATTGTGCATCCCTCTATACTTGATAATTCTCGCACACAATGCTATTGTTTTATTTTATTTTTCTTTCACCAATAATGTATAAAATGTTGTAGACATCTAAGCTAAAAAGCAGACATTCTATAAAGGTGGCATGTTGTGTCGATACGACATGACACTCGTCAAACATTTTTCAACACTCATCGGACACATGTCCAATGATAAAAGAATAACATGAAACACTGTAAATTTATAGATAACCCCCCAAATGATGACTAGCACTAGTAGACATGGTGGCAAAAAAAATTAAAGCAGCCGACCCCAAATGAATGGGACAACAAAGCATTAATTTGGTTTGGTTTATTCCATTTCTTTTCTTTTCAATTTGTCATTATTTATTTCCAGTGCTTTCTTCCCTTGATATTTAGACTTCCAAATTTCACTAAAACTGTAAAACATCATCCCATATCCCATACTGAGTCCTCAATTCCTTGAAGGACCTGAACTGAAGAAACCTTGGGAAAGTTAACACCCTACCCCCCAGCCCAAAAACGAGAGAAGAAAACAATGAATAAAACAAAGATTGTTAGAAGAATGCTACAAGAATAAAAGACCATAAGCATCTTTAAACCAACCAAATAGTTAGCATGTTGCATCTAATTCTTTATAACTACTCGTGTCAATAACATGGTAGTAGAGTAAACAAATCCAAGTGTTGTGTTCACACAAGTCCCATGATAGTATTACAACTTCTATTCCAGGTAAGCAGCTATTTCAACCTGTATTTTACAATCACACGCTGCATGACAAAGTTTTTGTCATTCATGGAACAGAGGAATGCAAAACAGTTGTGAAGATTGATTCAAAATAAGGGATAGAAAATAGATCAAACCTTAGATATGGTTAATGCTGGACTCCATTGTTCCTTCAGAATATCAAGGCAAATGCTTCCATTGCTATTAATGTTCGGGTGGAAAACTTTGGTCCTAAATGCCACCTGCAACATCAACCTAGTCAGCCTCTCATATCTCAAGAGTATCATACACAACAAGATCAACATAGCCTTCTATTGATGGACACAACCATAGTCATTAGCATTGTATGATCCATGGTACCATATGTATTCCATGCAAAGCGGAACGTATGGCATATGGACGCATCATTCAATACACTGGGATACAAACAATACATATGGCAAGTTGCATGTGCACACTTTGAATACATTGGCAGTTTATAGAATTGGGAAAATTCATATCCTTTCATCTGAAATCATGGGAAACAAAAACTAAACTTTCCTGAAGTCAAAAGAACACATAACAAAATTTAAACAACCTCTATTTATTTCCTTCTTCTAAGGTTTTATTTTTTGTTCTTTTTTTTAATTTCAATTTCTATATGCCCCTTTTAGGAATAAAATCAAATTCTTTTTACCCCCAAAACCAACTTCTTCCCTTAACAATAACACTTTTGTCTCAAAACAAACAGGAGTCTTTATTATACAATACTTTTGAAGGCTAGGTATCATCACCAACACAACACATTAGCCATTAATCCCTTGCTTCTAAACCGATAGTAATGGTATAGGATATCTTCATTTGCAATACCAAGATTATAATAAATAGACAAGAGATGAGAGCATTGCGTAGAAAACATAAAATTTTAAACATATCAAGTCATTAACTATTAGTTGCATAATAACAAATCTAGTAGTATAAGAAAAAACTACCTTAGGGGGCTTAAAAGGATAATCAGGAGGAAAATGAATAGAAACCAGAAATACGCCTCCAGCATACGGGCTTTCAGTAGGTCCCATAATTGTTGCTTGCCAATGGAACATGTCTTCGGCTACAGGACCTGTGAAAATAAGATAAAGAGCTCAATTCAATACACAGACTAATAAGCTTCCTTACTAATCAAACAGAGTGTGAGTTAGAAAAAGAAGATTGAAGTAAGTGCGGAGAAGAAGAAGAAGAACACACCGGCGCTGCATGATGTGGGAGGGTCCTTCTGCAAATCCTTGAGCTCCTTCAGGATGCGTTTCGATGCCATAAATACAAACAACAAACCTAACACCTCCAATCAGATCAGAGGCGTGACCTACCCTCACAGAAATTGCCTACACACAATTAGCAGAGATCGTGAGCTAACGAAATCAAAAACCACCTTCCAAAGACCTAATTGCTCAATCTGATCACTAATACAAACCCTAACAGAAGCAAAACTCAACAAACGAGATTCAGGATCTGATTCTCCCAACAAAAACAAAAACCCTAGAATTCGTAATACAATTATGCATACAAATCTATATATACATACAGAGAGAGAGAGAGAGAGAGAGATACCTGATGGGGAGAGGGGGGGAGGATTAAGGGAATGATTGAATTTGGGGGATTAGACGGAGAATATAGAGAGAGAGAGAGAGAGACAGAGAGAGAGAGAGAAAGAGTAATAGCATCCGCACCAACTCTTCAAATTTTTAGTTAAACTAAAATTATATCATTATTTTAACTAGTCATCTTTTAATATTTAGAAGTGATTTGGAATGTTTATTTTTTGATTTTTTATAAAAAGATATATAAAAATGTAAAGAAGAAATATTAATTGATGTGATTCAAAAAAGATAAAAAAATAGACTAAAATAGGTTATGCCAAACCACCCCTTACTACATCAAATTTTTTATTTTAACATATTTTTATTAAATATTATTTTTCTTATTGTGTGTTGTTAGTCTTTATTTTTTTATTAAATTGATAAGTTACCAACCAAATAATTCTTAAAAAAAATAACCAAAAAAAATTTGCCATTGAGCGGTTGACCAGCCGGTTCGACCGGACATCGTGCTAGACTTCCGGACAGACTTCCGATAACACAAATAGCGATGAATAGTGTCTCGCTTGTTGTAACGAATTACTGTAGCCATCGTAAATTTTGACGAGCTGCGAGCGAGCTTGGTGAAGTTAATTTTTTTAAGTTTTTAGCTAAAAGACGATTTTAAAGAGCTTAATGAGGATGCTCTAAAAATAAATCAAAAATAAGATCGTAAAAGTTTTACCAAAATTTTTATTAAGTGTTCTTTTAGATCATGTTTGTTTGGGCGAACTGGATTAGGATGTATTAGCATTTTCATGACTAATAGTCTTAGGATTACAAATCCCTTTGAATTGTATATCATATACTATGTTTGGATTGAATTAGGATTATATAGAAGTATTAACAAGATATTATTCAATCGGATATTTGTTTAAGTGGATTGGAATGGATATGATATGACAGGATATAAGACATCCAATATATTGACCATAATACCTTTATTATGGTCATTTAATAAGTTAGTTCAGACTTTAACTTAGTCTCCCAATTTATATCTCACCCCTTATGTGAGATTGAATAGTTCATCATATGTGGGATATCATATCCGGATGAATTGTTAGTCAGTACTTAAATTTTTTAACCAAACATCAGATTAATAATTTTATTGGACTATTAGTCCAATCCCAAGTACAGCTCTGCCCAAACAATCACAGCCTTAGGAACTTAGATTAAAAGTTAAAAATTAATTTTTAATTCATTTTGAGTCACATTATTTTTCACATAAAATAATAAAAAAATTAAAAAGTTAAAAAATCAACTTTTAATTATATTTTCAAAATACTCTTAAATGTCTCACAGAGGTATAAGACCTAAAAGGCACCTATATAAGATATTAATAAAGATTTTAATAAAATTTTTAGTACCTCTAATATTCTTCAAAATAAATTGGGAGTTGCGTGAGTTTGTTTCTAGAATTTTCATAAGAGCATCTTCAATGGTTTGTCATTGGAGATGACATTGCTATAATATAGCAGCTGTGTTGAATTTTGATGCTCCAATGGCAAAATATAGCAGTTGCCAAATTTGAGAAATGCCAAAACTTGTGTCAAATTTGACACATGCTTTGGCAGCTGCCATTTGTGCCAAATCAACTAAAACCAACTGTTTCCCTCCTTACTTCCCTCCCTTTCTCCCTCCTAGCAACTGTTTCGCCATTTTTATGTTTCATAATTCACCAAAAAAAATTTTAAATAATTTTTTTTAATTTACTCGAAATCAGCAAATTCAAACAAATACAACAAATCTTTTTTTAATTTGGTCGAATTCAAACAAATTCAACAAATTCAAACTGATTCAACTAAAAAAATTCAACGATTTCATAATGAGCTCAACAAGCAATTTTATAACTGAAAATATGAACAAAATTGAAAATAATGAACAAAACTAAAAATAAGAAATACCTAGTTTTGGTAGTTCAAAGTAGATCTGGTTGCTGATCGTCTCTTCAATCTTGTACCGTCGCCGATCGAAGGCATAAAGATGAGAGATAGAGTGATAGTGAAGAAGAGGTAGATCTGGTGATTGTGTCTTCCATTCTAAGACTGAGAGAGACAGAGAGGGGGGTGGGGGGTAGACGGTCGCCGATCGTCTTTTTGAGCATATACCGTTACCGATCGAATACAGAAAGATGAGAGATAAAGTGACAGTGAGAGAGAGGTAGATCTGGTGATTGTCTCTTCCATTCTAAGACTAAGAGAGAGAGAAAGAAGTGAGAGGGAGAGAGGGGTAAAAGGTAGATGGTCCCCGATTGTCTCTTTGATCTTGTATCGTCATCGATCGAAAAGAGATACAGTGACAGCGAGGGAGAGGTAGAACAAAGACCAAAAGGGATAGTGAGGGTGATCGTCTCTTCCATTGTAGAAGTGAGAGTGAGAGTGAGAGTGAGAGTGAAAGTGAGAGAAAAAGAGAGAGAGATAGAGAGGAATGAGAGTGAGGGAGAGGAAAAGGGTTGGATAGCCGAGCGAAGAGAGAGAAGACATATAGAGACATAGTAAGAGTAAGAGGGAGACTGAGAAGGAAAGGAAAATGGTTGGATGATTCTGGATATTCATCTCAACCGTTGGAAATCATTTGCATGGACAGTGGTGATCTATCTTGGGAAGGCAAAAAAGTCGTTGTGCTCTTTTTGCCTAAAAAAAAAACTAGTTATAAATTAAAGGTCATATTTTTTCCCAAATGGTCATATTTTGCATTTCTATAAATAGAAACCTCAATCTCAATTTCATTTCACAGCACATATTTCAAATTTTATATTTCTTTTCTCCTCTTTTTATCTCAATTGCATTTGACAACAAACTTTCAAAAATATTTTGTTTTTAGTTTTTTCGGCCAATCACTATGGAAGGTTCATCAAAAACAAAGAGAGGAAAATCATTTAATACTCAAGAAGATGTGGCAATTTGTAGAGCTTGGTGTCACATTACTGAAGACCCAATTGTTGAAAATTCGAAATTGCATGCTCATTTTTTGGAAAGAATTTTTGAAAATTATTGCTCGTTGCAGAATGATCACTCAAGAACACAAGTGTCTATCTCATCTCGATAGGGTGTAATTATGAAATGTTGCAACGTATTTCGTGGGTGTCTAGCGCAAGTCAAAAATCTACATCTAAGTGGGGCGTCACAAGTTGATATAGTAAGATTTCATTTTCATTTATTATGTTAGTTTTTTTATTTTGTCTTATATAAAAATTAACTAATTAATTAATTTAATATTTTATTGATATAGATAGTTCAAGCAAAACTGTTATACCATCAAGATGAAAACAAATATTTTGCTTTTGAACATTATTGGCCAATTTTGCAAAACAATATCAAGTGACAAGATGTAACTCTTACGAACGCGGTGAAATCAAGGATACATACACTGTTTTTCCCTAGTTCAGGCCCCGATTCCCCTATAGATAACTGCATTTCTCTTGAAGATGACACTAGTCCAAGTGTTGCTAACAATCCAACTGTTGGTGAGGGCAGTGTCTCTGCAAAAGGTAAAAGGCATATGAATAGGAAAGCTGCAAAAGAATTATTTTGGAGAAATCAAGTCGTTCAAGCTGAAGTCTAAAAAATGAGCATATAATTGGACACATTTAACCAATACCTTGCTGAGAAGGAAAAGAAAAAAGGATTCAAGCCCTGCAGGAGCTGAAAAGAACTTGAGATGAAAAAACATGACTTTGAGATCAGAAAACAAGAACATAAGATGAAAAATGAAGAACATATGGCAATGACTACGAACATTTCTCATTTGGACCCTCAAATGAAAGCGTATTACACAATACGAAAAAATGAGATTTTCACAAAGCGGTCTTCAAATATCAGCAACCCAAATTACTATTTCCTCCTGCTTCTTGATGAATAATTACAGGATAATGTATTTTTAAATTTTGCAATGTCATTTATTTAGTCTTTATTTACAATGTCATTTTTTTATTTTGTAATGAAATTTTTTTTAATTTTTTTATTTTTCAATTTTTTCTACAACAGAATGTAATATTATTTTTACAATGTATAATTTATTAAATATGTAGTGATATGTTTTTGGATGAGGTGAATTATATTTAATTTTTTTTTCTAAATTTTCAATTTTTTATTTGTTTAGTCAGGAATAATATAAATATAATTTTTTTTACAAACAATTTAAAAAAGGTCACAAAAGACAAAATAAACAAAAATAAAATCACAAAAAACATATATCCAAACAACACCTATAAATTTAAAGGGAAAGTCAGTTAAAATTTACTAAAATAACAAATAATTATTGAAACAATATAATTTAATAAAATAATACTATTTATTATCAAATTATAATAATAATAAGGGTACTGTTATGGTGTGCAACCCTTTAAGGTTGCACACCATATGTAACCAACACAAAAGGTGTAAGTGAAAGGTGTAAACATAAAACAGGACAATAAACAAAAAGACATAAATATAAATTGTAAATTGCACACTTAAAAAAAAATCATAATAATAATAATATTATTATTATTATTATTATAACAACAACAATTAGAGATACCCTAAATACTTCATAAAAGGCGTTCTATTAACGGCAAGGATTTCTTATACGTTGCCCCAATGCAACACCAAGAAGTTCGGGCCCAGCTCGGACCTGGGTCCCATTTTTAGTACATTGGAATTTTTTTAAGTTTTTAAATGACTAAGGCTACGTTTGATTTAAGGGTTATTTGAGATGACTTAAATAAGTGTATTTTTTATTTTTTTACGAAAAGATGAGTTGTTTAGTATGACTTAAATAAGTGTATTTTTTATCTTTTTGCGAAAAGATGTGCAGAAAAGTAGAGAAATGATGTGATGAAAAAAAGATAAAAAGATAGATTATTTGGGACTTCCCAAACTTGGCCTTAATTTGCTTTGATTTAGTTTTGAAATTAATTTAAAAAATGTGAGAGATAATATATGATTTTAGAATAAATTAAAAGTTAATCATCTTCTTAAAATATAATTTGTACTTTGAAATATTATTTTAAAAATAATTTTTTGAAAAGAGCTTAAAAAATTTTAAAATTTGATTGATTGTATATTTTGAAAATAATTTTGGAGTTTTAGAATTGTGATGATTTTATGATATGTTTGATTTAGTTTTAGA